TTCTGTCGTCATGACACATACCTGAGTGGGAATAACCTAGACTAAGTGGAAATAACATAATTATGTTATTTCCACTCGATGAACATCTGGTTCGGGTTAAGAGAGGGGCTCCCATATTTAGATCGATTTGATTTATTGTTAGGTCAAGCTGTTCAGTTCCTAACAGCCAGTCCCACAATTTAGCTTCTTGTTCAGCTTCAGGTAATGTTTGTGTCCTTACGCGTTCAAAAATCCTTCGTGCAGCAATTTGGAGATTTTTTTTGCTGACATTTTCTCTACAACGAAAGTTACTGCTATGTATATGTGATCGGATTGCCCTATTATAACAGAATTATGTGAAATGGTGAGAATCAACATTTTTATTATTAATTAAATCGCATAAAACAATTAATTATATTATATAATAACCTTGTGCAGTGACCATAACACCATGCAATGATCACCTTTGTATGGTCCGATTCTTTATTCGACATGGCATCCATCATCAGTCTTTGAAGATATTCTTCCAAAGTCTCATTGTTATACTCCGTAAGAAGTATTCCTTGTGCGCAGTCGGATTGTATTAGGTATGGTACGACGTTTGACCGGAATATGTCATACTCTTTTCGACGGAAATAATGTAACGCTGTTGCTAAAAATTCAGCTGATAGATCTGTTGTGATAAACTCAGCTGCCAATACTGGAGGTGCCACTCCGTTGACTCTGGAATCACCGGAAGGTAATGTTATCATAGCGTTTAAAACTTTCTTGGTTTTTTCTTTAGGCTCCGTGGGTTTCTCTCATAAGAGTTTGAACACGTCACTGTTAATGCAACAAACATGTAAGCATCGTTTAATATATATTTATGTGTGTGTATGTAACATATTTACTAACCGGATCATTAATCCTGTATAATCTATAAATATGCCAGGATTGTTGGATGCGAGATGGTGGTAGTATTGGAGAGATGCTTCATTGTATATATTTACCGCAAGTGGATCAACTTGTAAGGGTACTTGTATATGTCCAGTGAGCTGTCTATTCTGTGCTGCATCATTTCCATTCTTTTTGATAAAATCCGCTTTTTCCTTTTCATTTATTTTTTGTATTGCACTTATGAAACGTTCTGCAATACTATAGTCTTTGCTTGGATTTATGGAGTAACGCAGCTGTTTGGCAGCCTTTGCACTTGGTACGTGTTGCCAATTTCCTGTGAGTATTCTTTCTGGCATCAACTTAGCCAAAGTGGTTGTTTGCATTTGTCGTGGAAGGGTTGTTTCTGGTTTGAGAAGTTGCTTAGAAAGTCCACGTGTCTGGCCATAGGTTATACTTTTGTGATGTGTGCAAATGCGCCGATTCTTTGAGAATGTAATTTTCAACTGCACATAATAGTTTTTGTTAAGTAATTCTTTTGTTGAAATATTAAATGATCCACCTGCTTTTACAGGGCCTACACATCCAGTGCGAGAGAAATATTTTGTGAGGCTTTTATTATTGTCTCTTGTGAGGTAGATAGTTGGAGCTACTTGTGTCGGAAAATTTGGTTCTTTCTGCAAAATATTTATCAACCAAGTGTGGGAGATGGACCAGTCTTGCCAAAGGTAAGTCTCTCTAATGGTATTGTGATACACCAATTTCTCGAGCATCTCTCTTCGCGTCAGCAGACATACTGTATCTTTGGCAGGTTCGTAAATTGTTTGTTCATCATCAGTTTTGGCATTCAACTGTGATGTTGGATTTATTCCTGCCATTAATGCACCAATATAGTTTCTCTGTTCCTTCATAGGTGATTTAGGTGATGATTGAGGTTGTTCTGTTGATGGCCTGGCTGGTGATATGGTTGACTCTGTGATTGAAGACTGGTTGAAAACAGGCACAAAATGGTTTGTACTTGGAAGCCGTCGTTTGCACCATTTGTCAAAGTCAACCTGTGTTTTAATCCCTGCATTTACCCACATTATGTGTAGTGAAGGACGGTCAGTGATATCAGTATCATCAGATCGCGGCAAAATTTTCTGATTGTATATTCTTCATAGTGTGCTGTCTTTGCCGACGTTTGGGAAAATGGAGCAAATAGGATGTTGTATAAATCCTGATAACCCATAGATGGCTAATAATGGTGAGTATGAATCTATCGAGCACATTTGCATTATTTCGGCTTTATAATATCCAGCCTTGACATATGTGTCCTCACTTTGGAAAGGTGTACTCATTGCTTCATCAGACCAAGCCCAGTCTTTTTGGAACAACCCGAGTTGGAGGTAGTATTTAGCATGCTTCATTAATTCTGATACAGTGCCCGCACGCAGTGCTAAGTGTAATGATTCATCACCGCATAGAATGATTGAGGCAGAATTATACAGGCACGATCCATCGGCACTTGATTGACCACAGACGAATGATTATATTCCTCAGGGAGAAACATATTGGCACTCCAATCTGTCATGATATTTGCTGGTTTGGATGTATGAAAGGTGTAATCATTTATTGGATCTATTTGTAGGCGTGTTGCGTAGCTGATCATAGTATCAATTGTTGGTTCAGTGCTGAGAAAGACCTTTGTGGCATTCAAGTAAGTTATGTAAGATGAGTTATTCATTTTTTCAAGTGTCTTTATTATTATATTTTCGCGTTATAAATTTAACTTGTTGAATTTGAGATTTGGCAAAAACTCCTTCACCTTTATATAACAAACAGGTCTACTGTCATACTTCAATTGATTTATTGTTATTTATATTCGCTACGCTACTGATAATCTTTAGGGCGATTATTAATTTATTCACAAAGAAAACTATTATGCATTATTTCGTTCCATCTAACATTCATAATAAATTAAACTGTCGAAATTACATTGTACATTCTTTCGATTCAACATTACATAATTATTGTAGCACTACCTGTGATTGTTGTTGATTATTCAATTATGGAAGCCCGTGTACCAAGTGAATGGTCTGATTTACACTATAGCCAATTAATGATGTTGAATAAGGATCATTGTCTTAAGGAAAATATTTGTTCCGTCATTTGTGTTAACGGCTAAGCTTTCAAGAATCATTGTCTTAGCGGATAACACTTATTCCGCTAAACAAAATCGTATGTTTGCTAATATTAGATGAATTCTTTACAGGACGCAAATTTACGCCCATGTCTGATATTATTGTTAAATTGAGCTTTCAATTGGTAATTGTAATAAGCGTAATAATTCTAGCGGATAATCTAACATACAGCACGACATTTGATGTGTTCGCGAAACAAAATCGTATGTATGCTTTCAGGACAATGCTAATATTAAATGAATTCTTTACAGGATGCAAATTTACGCCATGTCTGATATTGTTAAAATTGAGCTTTCAATTGGCAATTGTAATAAGCGTAATTATTCTAGCAGAGAATCTAACAAACAGTATGACATTTGATGTGTTCGCGAAGCAAAATCGTATGTTTGCTTTCAGGACAATGCTAATATTAGATGAATTCTTTACAGGACGCAAATTTACGTCCATGTCTAATATCCTTGTTA